ATGCAAGAAAGCAGTGAAAAATTAGAAATTGGAATAAAAAACACCATTACAGTAACATTCATGAAATACATAAGGAATGAATTTAATAAAATATGTGCAAGTATAAGGAAGAAAATAAAAATGATCTCTAGTCCCTTTATCCAGAGTTACACAGTTTTACTTTGGTCTAAACTTTACCCTCACACATAAACTTGTGCACAAACACAGACATGGAATCTCTTAATGGTTTTTTTAATTTGTCCTCACCTAATTGTATTAATTTACTTATACCTAACAATTTCATGCATATCTTTCTGTAACAGTAATCATAAGTATTCATAACTTTAAAAAGAATTTTACTGACTGTATTATATTTCATATAACACGTTTCGCTTTTGTTTCACTTTTTAAAAAATGTTTTAAAAAGTAAGAAGTATAACACATATCCAGAAAATATATCCAACAAAACATACAGTTTAGTGGATTATTATTAAGTCTGTGATACAGGAATAAAGCATTGCTATTAGTCTTCAAACTTTTCCTTGTGTTCTTTCTCAACCAATTGTCTTCTTTTTCCTAGAGGAAACCACTGAAGTCTGACTTTATGGTTATCATTTCCTTACCTTTTTTCCTTTGAGTTGACCACCTGAGTATTCATTCCTAAACAGTATAATTTTCCTTATTAAGACAAAACTTTATATAAATGTAACAATGAGGTATGTTTTATTTTGTATGTATTATTTTGCTTAATATGTTTTTAAGACTTAACGCATATCATGTGAAGTTGTTTATTTTTGTTGCTATGCCGTAGTCTGTATATGGATATACTATGCCTTTGATGAATTTTTGGGTTTTTAGTTTTGGCTGTTATGAATAATGTTGCTTCATGATTATATGAATAATACTTGTTCATGTTTCTTTGTATGCTTCTCTAGGGCAGTGGTCTGAGAACTGGAATATCCCCATCACTGGGGAACTTCTTAGAGATGTAATTTTTGGGACCTGCCCCAGAGATTATGAATCAGAAGCTCTAGGAGTGGGGTGCAGCCATATGTATCTTAACAAACCTTCTAGATGATTATAATTGTACCTCTTGAAATCCATTGCTCTAGGGTAGGGCTCATTTGGCCCATGGGCCAGATTCTCTCTGCTCTCTGTTTTTGCATAACCTGTGAGTGAAGATTGATTTTTACATTTTTAAGTAGTTGCAAAAAATTAAAAGAATACCATTTCTTATCAAAGGAAAATTCTTATAAGAAATGTAAGCTTCAGAGTCTATAAATACAGTGTTATTTTAACACAGCTATATCCATTTGTTTATGGCCTGTAGGAAGTGCTGGTTCAGGATAATTTTTAATGTAAATCCAAAATCTGAGGTCCCTCGCCCACTAGATAATTAGATACTAGGCTGCAGATCCGTATGAAGGCTGATAAACTTCTGGTTGACACCCACCTAAGTCCTTCAGTGTCCTAGAGAGTAGGGCATAGTTACCACTTTTGGCAGGGTCTCCATGAAGCTACTTTCCCAGAATTAGCAAATATAAAAGTAGGCTTTCAGTGACAGGACTGACCTGTGAGTCTTAAACCTATGAGAACTTTGATGCAGATGGATTGGTCTAAATCACCTAGTCCACAGTTACTGCAACGTAAGGCGTTTCTTGATGATTCTACTGAGTTTTTAATTTCTGTTCTTGAATTTTTTGTCTGTTTCTGGAATCTCTTTCACAAATTACTTTTTATAGTTTCCCATTCATACAGCTATCATCACATTTTTTTTAAAGATCTTATTAGAGAGAGAACGAGCAGGGGAAAGGGGCAGAGGGGGCAGAGAGAGAGAGAGAGAAGCAGACTCCCCGCTGAGCAGGGAGCCTGAGGTGGGGCTTGATCCCAGGACCCCAAACTATGACCCTAGCCGAAGGCAGTCGCTCAATCAACTGAGCCACCCAGGAGCCCCAGCTATCATCACATTTGTCTTTTATTTCTCTACACATATTAATATAGTTATTATCTATATACTTTGAGTCGTATTCTCGTTGTTACTTATGAAGTGATGTTTTATTGTGAGCGTTGTTATAAAATACAGTATGTTTGACATTGTATTTGAAGATGAGTTTGCAGGAATCCTTTGAGGCATACCACAATGTGCTTTTCTTCATAGAGGATTAGAGTTTGCTTCTGCCAAATGTCTGGGATATTTGATTCAGGGACCACCTTAAAACAAGTTCAAGGCTTGGGATTTCACTGATGGCATTTGAGCAGGAGGATCTCTTGTTAGATACTCCACTTTCATTTGAGCCTGAGTTTATATATATATTAATCTGTGCTTTAAAGAAGATGCTTTTAGGGCGCCTGGGTGGCTCAGTTGGTTAAGCGACTGCCTTCGGCTCAGGTCATGATCCTGGAGTCCCGGGATCGAGTCCCGCATCGGGCTCCCTGCTCG